GATGTGGGATCTTTGTCATATGTTGATTCTCCTTTGCACCCCATTCAATTTCATACTAGTTTCTTACAAAAGCCTGTTAGAAATGTAATGTTACTTATCCAGAAATATCAGTCTGCCATTGCTCCAGCATCATTCTTTAATGAATACAGACTTCATCGCTTGTATTTCTATTACTTTAGCTACTTCTGTTTCTGTTTTTTATTGCAAAGATCTGTGCAAATAAAAGAATATCAAAAGGTATAGCTATAAATGTGCTCTGCTAACTTCCCTCTGCCTTGAAATGCCTGTGAACTGCAGCTACAAAATGCCTGCTGCATTTTAATGCCTTCTTCCAAGGCAACATAATATGGTAGAAACAGCTCTGGCTTTGTAGGCATACAAATCAAGGACCACCATACACCAGTTGTTACTTGACTTCTGTGAGCCTCAGTGTACTTTATGAAAAGTCAACAACAATCTCATCCTCACAGATTTGAAGATTAAATGAGATGAAATATGTAGAGTGCAAATACTGTAGCGAGGGCATCATAGAAGCTCTATAATTCTTATTTATTTCTCCAGCCTGCAGCAGCAGTAGGAGGAAACTATCACATGCACAAATGAGCACTCATTTTAAAAAGTATTATAACTGAGAGAATTATGAACTAAGGATAATCGAGTTAAGATGAGATTCCAAAGAAGCAGATGATGCCTTAGGGTGGAGCTGATTGCATATGGTGGATGGCTGCTATAGGTGGCTATTCAGAAAACGACATGGTTTCTGAAATCTGTTGTAACTTTAGTTCCTTCCAGCTCTGCAGTACTGTAAGAAGGGCATGTTTAACTACTCATTTGCCTTTAAAAGGGAGAGGTTGTGTAATTGACAAGAAATGCCTACAATATAAGTATTTTGTTACACTGTGTGAAATAACATAAAATTTCAGCATGTTTAAAATGTAAGACTGTCATTTATCACCCTCATATGATGGTGCTGTAGTAGAACATTTTTTAAGAGTGACCAGACTTTACTTCATCCAGTGAGCAAATAATGCCAAAAGCCTAATTTCCCAACTAACAATATTGTGATAGTTATTGATATTCTGATAGATTTTATGTGGTTCCAGGAGTATTTGAGTTACATCATAATTTGATGTCATTTCTGAAGCTAATGGGCAAAAGATTCCCTAGAATCCATATTGCAAAGTTCTATAAAGTCAGGAAAATGCATAGATAAGGGAAATGGGAATCCTCAGGAAGTCTTGTAGGCCATCCTTAATTTTCATCTGGTTTATTTGCTGCCAGAGGACCCATGTGTAAAACATAAATAAGATGGAGAAGAGAAACAGATTGGAAGATAGTAAGCTATAGTGGAAAGAAAAGTCTAAAGTCAGGCTAATCTTGTTAATCATCTACTAGTGATGAGCTTCGTACAGTATTCTTTAGTGTGTGTGTGTGTGTGTGTGTGTGTGTGTGTGTGTGGTACTGAGGATTTAACCCAGGGCCTTCACACTGGGGTACATTCTCTAGCCCTTTTTTATTTTTATTTTTTACTTTTGAGACAAAAATCTCACTAAGTACCTGAGTTGCACAGGCTGGGCTTGAACTTGCAATCCTCTTGCCTCAGATTCGCAGAGTCCTGGAATTACAGGTATGCACCACCACACCTGGAGCAATATTATTTTAAGATATATAGCGTCTACTACACAGACTTGCAAATAAATTCAACTCAAGTGCCAGCTCCTGTAGTTTAGTAGTGATTTCCTGAAGTTCTGGGTTGAGATGGATTCTGAATCTATGTCTGGGATCGTTGTAAACAATGCTGTAATTGATTAGCGAGGTCTGCCCTGAACAGAAAATGGAGTAAATGTTCTTAATGTTGTAATTGCTATATAAGTGTTCTATAAATTGTAACCTTTAACATTTATTATTACAAAGTGCTTGTATGTCTCCACCAAATTGCTAAATTTTTACATCCTCAGCACAGAGTTGAATCATTTACCTGCTTTGATTAAAATAATGATATATATCATTTTTATTAATTTGGTGGTAAACATACATACATTATTCACTGAGAAAAGCTGAAAACTGAAATCAAAATGTGCTATTCCTATTTTTATTATATTAAGCACCTGCTTAGAAAAAATATTATGTGGTTACTAGAGGCAGAATGAGGGTTGAAAAGAAAAAAAGAAGAGATGATACTGAGATATAGTCCCAAGCAATCATAAGAAAATTTGCACAGTATTCCCTATTACCTTTAAATATTCACATGGAGAAAAATACAGTATGTTTTGCACTAAGATGCTGTGCGACTTTTTTCCTGTTTTTTTGTTTGTTTGTTTGTTTGTTTTTCCACTGGGGCCAAATTTCTTCTCTGGATTAGTAGCCATGTTTTTGTGAGCTATTGGGAAATCTTTGAATCTAGAATAACTGATTTTGTATTCTTGCCACATTCCTTTGTTTGAGAATGGCAATCTGATCAAACCTATACTTTTAAATTTATATATTTATAGGCATATGGAAGAATAGTTTACAGTCTGAATATGATTTTTTCCCACCACAAATGGAGGGAAATTGTAGTGTTGGTTTTTTAAATAAACAGTGCTTTATCAGTTTCTTTTTTCTTTCTTTCTTTCTTTTTTCCCCCTTATTACTGATGACTTCATTCCACTTGAATTCAATGCTTCAGTTTCTTCAGGGTAAACTAATAGATTATGTATGCAGTGTGCACTCAGTGTTGATTGAACTCATCTGGTGAGTTTGAGTATGGTGCCTGAGTTCCTATTAAGGCAGCAGCCTGTGCCTGGGATCAAGCCACCACCATCCTCTCCAATGACTCAGGAGCTAGGAGGGGTTAAGGGTGGACTTTGGAGCCTTCCCACCTACTGGTGCTTCTGAGAAGCTTAGCAGGCCTTGTCTTCTTAGCATTATCTTCATCAAGTGTTCAAAGTAAACTTTTATTTATGAAAAAGTGAAGGAAAAGATCCCTGGTACAAAAAAAAAGAAAAAGTGAAGGAAAAGAGCTAGAGCTATCTGAAAAGGTTTTAAATGCACATTGAAGAAAAATGAAGCCACATAGTCCTGAAGAATTTGTATTTTCTTAATCAAAAGCAGCAACCACAGTTCTGTGGAGCACTTGGGGAACCCAGCACTGGTCCCCACAGCAGTTCTGAGACAGCAAGGTTCAGACACCTGTCCACTTCCCTTACTGTGGAGTCCCCCAGGAAGCATGTTTACTCGACCCTTTTCCTTTTAATAATTTACAAATGTAATTTTTATTAGTGTGTGTTAGGACTATATAACTTTGGAGGGCTTGAGATATATACATATTTAAACCCTATCTTGGCCACCCCCTTCCCTTCCTCCACCCCCCGCCATGACCCCCTTCCCCTTCTCCAGAAAGCCTGCCTTTCTGTCCTACCACCTTTCCTCTATTTTACACTTATATTTATTTGTATTTTAGGGTTCTCATATTAGAGAAACCATACAGGCATAATTTTAAATACTTTAACAAAATAGATGATCTCGTGCTACTGCTTTTTTGATATCTCATTTTTATTGGATATCTCTTTTAAATTGAAAACTCAACTGCAATATTCAGGAAACTTTTGGGCCTGTGAGGCTCTTCATACCAGGGCCACTACCTACCTACCTTCCCATACTCCACATCCCTTATCAACTAGAACAGTGATTCTCACTTATCCATGAAACACGAGTGTCTATACCAATTAAGTACTCAAATCTGCCAGTGATATACATTTGTCATTTATTAGTGTAAATTCTAAATATCCCTAAATTAAAGTTTCCAGCACTCACATTTATTCTAACTTCCTTCTGAAAGGGAGGGAGCATGTATCATCCAAAGTGTGTGTGAGGGAGGACTGAAGAGGTTGAGGACCACCACTTGCCCAAGTAACCAGCCTACATTTCCTGAAACAAGAGCTTTCTTGGGGCATCTAAAGTGCCATCTACTCTGTGGAGCCTTCTGTAACCACGTCCTATGGCCTTGTCCTCTATGTTCCCGTGGCCCCATGCAGATCTCTATTATGGCACCTATCACAATAGATTGTAGTCTTCTGTGTCCCTTTTGGTCCCCACCTCCTAGACTGTTATTCTTGCAGGTAAGGACTGTGAAATGTTTACTTTTACAGTCCCAGGTCTCAACATAAGGTCTGGCACAATAAGGTGCTCAGTTATGCCTCAATCAATTAAAGGAGCTGAATGATGATTCAGATCTGCCTATCATTCTCTGCTTACTTCCCAGTCCTGAATCACATGGCATGATAGTACCTCTGTTGAAATGATCATGACAGATAAATCCAAGCTTAAAAGGAACCACTGGCTGACCAAGGTGGGGATGAGTGGATGTGTCACTGCAGAAGTGTAAGTCCTGGGAAGATGCAGTAGCTGCAGTACAAGAGGGAAACGTAGGACAAGCAACAACAGAGCATTCTCAGCTGTCACCCAGCTTCTTCTATCCTTTTTCATGCTTCCTTTCTCGTGGCTTTTGCCTTCTTTCTTCACCTAAACTTGGCTGAACCCGTATATTGATATATACTCTAGTGCCACCATCTCACCACAAAATTCATGAGTCACATTGGAAGGAACATTGGCATATGCCAGCCAGTATCACATCCAACCTTCATTCAGACAGCTACAACTTTGTCCCTAATAGGAAACACTTATTTTAGAAAATGAGACACATTAAAATTTACTCAAACTGTCTTTATGATTTTAAGAAGAAAATGGTAGTTATTTTAATTGCTCTAAAAGGTCAGACTTTATCTTACCTTCTCATTCCAAAGGTAATTATTAATCTCAAATCAGATGTTTTGACTCTTGAAGTGAAGGTATGCATGTTTTTTATTCATTTTAATTACTAATTTCACTATTTTCCTAGCATATTTGAATGATATCATTAAATCTTTCAAATTTGGATGATAATGCCTTTAATAGGAAGATCAAAAAGTGGCTTTCAAGGCTGATGTACACTGTGTGACTGCATTTGTTGTGTGCTGTAGTGGTCGCCCTGCGGGAGGAAGCACTGACCGCATCCAGAAACTACGAAAGGAGTATTATCAAGCTCGAAGGGAGGGCTTCCCTTTATATGAAGATGATGAAGGAAGAACGAGGCCTTCTGATTATGATCTTCACTGGGTAAGCCCATGCTTGATTTGAATCATCAATTCCTCTTTATTGAAATAACTTACAGCAAAAGAACATGGTCAAGTATGTTCTGTGCATATCAAGTTATGTTGAAATTCCTTAGGTTTTATGCATATGGATATTATGCAAATGATAGCGGTTTTCTCCCACAGACATTGCTTACATCAGTCCAACCTTATGGGTTACATGGTGCTTCTAGCTGCCTTCATGCTTACTTCTGGTTGTATGCTGTCTGGTTTGGAGGTGAGTAGATGGCAGCTACTTTAAAGACAGAGATTCTTTGCCACCATTCAGAGAGCCCAAATCTTTACCCTCCTCTGGCCTCAAACACTTCAGCCAGCATTAACAGACTGCAATGTGAGCCCTCTCTCCTTTGGAATATGGTTATTAGAAGTAAATTTCTGAAGATTATTGTCAGAGATGTCAATTTTTCGTATATTAGATCTGAGCAACTCACATTCCACCAAGCTTACCAGTATACTAGCATTGCTTTGTTTTGAGATAAGGGGAGATTTTGGCGTATCTTTCAACACACAGGGAACAGAAAAGATTATTGTAACCACTGAAAATATATTCCCTGGGTTTTCTCAGAGTAGAATGATTCATTTTCTTTTTGTCTTTTCCAAGAAGGTAAGTCTGTGCTTACAAAATACACTTTGCTGGTGACCATTCACGAGAATGTCCAGAGGCGGTACATAGGTGTTAGATGACATGTAGCTGTCAGATACTCAGAACAGTGCCTGACATGAACCTGGTGCTCAACAATCATTAACTCTTCATACTAACATTATTGGAGCAGATCTGAGCATGATCATAGAGTGTCCTAGCTATGATTCCTTCTCACACACCCTTTTTGACAATTACTGCCTTCTGCTCCAGATCTGAGTGCTATGTTAAAAACAAAACTCTGCCATCCTGGAGCTCACTGAAGACAGCAGCTCTTTTGGGAGCCAAATCTATTCAAGGGAAGTTTTCTCTCCTGGATTTCACATTCATATTTATGCTTACAAGATCAGGAAAGAGTAAGTAGAGTCCAGAGAACAAGTGGGTCCCTGCTCGTTTTCACATCTGTATTTTGTCAGGTCACATAGGACACACAGTTGGCAAGTCAGTTTCAAGAGACACCACTGTTGGGAAGAGCAACTCCAGCCCACAAGATTCCTGCTTCTTGAAAACAGAGTTTAAAAGCACTAACCAGAGGTTCACAGTGAAGACTGGTGACTCCAAACCAAATGGCAACAGCCTCTTTGGAGATAGTTCTAGTAGACTGTAGATCAGAGCAAGCAGCTATTTGTTAATTTTATTACAGGTGTTAACATTAAAAAGAATGACATTTACAGTGCTGGGACAACTTATCTCTTAGAGTCTAGGTAGCAGAAGAGAAAGATTTCCATAGAATAGCAGATTAGATAACAAATTTAACCTATGTTCAACTTGATTGAGATCAATTTACTGCCTTTGACAAGAGATTTGAGCAACTCCTTAGGCAAGGCTTGGCTCTCTTAACAAAATAAATGAACAATACCATAAAGCAAAGTTATTTCTAAGATACCCAAAACAGAACACCATGTCTAATGCATTGAGAAGTACCATCCCCAAACCACTATGAATCCCTGTAAGCAAAATAAGAATGAGTTTTAGATTAAGCAGTCCTGGTCATTTTGACTTTATTTTATATTATTTCCTTAATTCAAGGTGAAAGAATGAAGACGCTTAATCTTCTAGAGACTGAATGTTTCTTCTGACTCTCACCAAAGCTAAACTGGATAAACTATTCCCTTGTGTTTTTCCTTTTTTAATGATCCTATTTTTATGCCAGGCAAATGTGTAAGCAGGCAATCTAGCAAGTAAAGAAGCGTCTCTATTTTCATTTGTGTTTCCCATGCTCCGATGTGCTGTGCTTTGCCAAAAGTGACTGATGCTATAATTCCCTAGACAGTTGGGTCCAAAGCTTCCCAAAGGGATGCTTGGGAAATGCACTGTCATAAAAGATGAGTGTTCTTTGTGATCGCCTGCGATATTCCAAAGCAGGGATTAGGATCTCCGCATCCTTTCCTTTCCTCTCCCCACACCAAGGAAAACACTACTACCTTTTGTTTAGCAGAGGCCTGAGAAATTACACCATTGACTTGCTACTTTTTGGAGAAATCTATGAAAGCAAGTTTAGAAAGTTAACATTTCACTCCTGCCAGCCAGCCATGCCAAAGCAGCTTTTATGACAATGCAGTTTCTAGATTAGGCTTGTCCTCAGCATCATAGGGATACTTGTTAATGTCAAACCAAATGGCTGAGAAAAGGAGGATAGGAGAGGCCCCAGGTGCCTTTCCAGGTGCTCAACAAGGTTTCTGACTCAAACTTTAAAAATAGGTCATTGACTCTTACTGCTTTAGTAGATATTAACACATTGCAAGTTTGCTAATAAAATCCTCTATAGCAGCACCATCAGAAACACTTTCATATACTTGGAATTCTCTAAGTCTAGTAACAGGTCAAGAGGCCTAACAGATGTTCTCCTGAGTCATATTGTTCTGGGGACCTTCTGAGCATTCAAGAAGGAAGTAGGAGGGAAAGTTACCTGACAATTACGGTTCTCTCTTGTTATTGGATGATGGAGTTGTTGGTCCTGAGACCCCTACAGATATCAAAATCTGCAGGACTCATGTCCCTTAAATGAAATAATGAGGTATTTCCATGAAATCTACCCATATTCTCCCATATACTTTAGGTCATCTCTAGATTATTTATAATACCTAATACAATGTAAATGCTGTGTAAACAGTTGTACTGTTCTGTTTAGAGCACAATGACAAGAAAAATCTGTACAGGTTTGCAAAAGTGCATTTTTTATAAATGTTTTCAATCAGCAGTTGGTTGAATCTACATCTATGTAGCATCCACAGATACAGATGACCCTGTGTGTTCTTACTAAAAATAGACCAGAAAGAATAAAAGTAGGCTCCCAAAAGTCATCAAAGTGAAAATGAATAATTGCCTGACAGATGATTAGGATCTAGGAATATTTGTAAAAGGCAGCCTTCTCAGTGGGAAGGATATCTTTCTTTGACCTTCTCTGGACTTTCCACACCTTCACTGGCTACCCTCTATTACACATGTTAAGTGACCTGAGCCTAAGACTCCTCTCACTATTTCTTTTCTTCATTTCTCCTCTCTTTGCTCTCTATCTCCTATTCAATTGCAACCCGTATATTTGCTTGATCTTAATGTAGGCTCGTTGTTGGTAACAATAGTATGACACTCTCTGTCTTGGTGGAGCTCAGAATCTAGCTAAGAATACAGACATCTAAGCCAAAACACCATAGAACAAGAGTTCATATGACAAATGCCATTGTCTAGAGAGGTGTAAAGGAACCCAGAGAGACCAGTAGAGTTTGAGGTGTCAGGGTCTGCAACCATTTGGAGGCAGGGTACTGGGAAAGCTATAGAGACAATTTGAGATTTACTTCACCCAGCACATTTTTTTTTTTCTTGCAATGTGGTCTTAGTTTTTGCTTTCCTTTATTTGCTTTCCTTTTCCAAGAAAACTCCTGATTTATGCACTTCATTTGTCTTAAAATAAATGCACACAGATTGTAATATTTGTAAATATGGACCTGAAACCTTAAAAATCTTTTCAGCCAGTCTGTTTTGTAGCAGTTTTCCCATTCAGGGTCTAAAAAGCTGTAAAGAACAGGTAGAGAGAATTTCAATGGCTCCAAGTGAAACGCCCTGGTGAGCTGTTATAGGCCCAATTAAGTAAGCAAGATATGCGAGCTCTGAAGTGTTAATATTTGCCAAAAGAAAACATGGTCCCTGTTATCTGCTGGTATTTTATTTTCTGTAAAACTTGTTAAGATTGTCACAGTCCTCTGGCAACAGGCTGCCTTTTTTTTGTTGTTAGTAGATAAAGATTACCTGCTTATTTAACAGAAACGTGAACATTCTGAAAGTAATTTCAGAAATGGGATAGCTCTGAAATTTACTAAAAATATTAGTACCTTTACTGTTGTTTTTTTCTAAGAGCTACATAGCATATGTCATTATTCCTCCTATTCTTTTTAACTTTTTGGCTAAATTAGAAGTCTGCTTACCTATAAGAAGGTGTGTAAACGAATGACAGACTCACTGAGAGAGAAATAGGGCAAATAATTCCTTTC